GAAGTATCTGAGCTCCATTGTTCCGGCAGAAAAAAACTATATATGGTGTAATTACCAGGGCGTCTTGTTTTCTCACGATTTGTTCTGTTCGTCAGACGCATCTTATACATTCCATCATGGTATAGTCAGTCTAGATGACTCCATGTGACCTCAGTTCTCAAAACGCTAATCCTCTTTTTGTTGGCCGTTTTCACTCACGTCACTTTCTACCCATCTATACGATCAGTTTCGTAATACGATGACAGCAGTGAATGTCTAACAAGCTAGAAAAGGCCCAAGAAACTATTTGCACTTGTAAGATGGCCAATGGCCCGCGAAGCACAATTAACTATCCAGCGCTCATTTAATTACAGGCCAAATTATTTTGTCGTAAATAGTGGATTTAAATTACCTATGGTGTTCCATTCGATCCATAAAAAGACTTGATCATCCCAGAATCCTCTTTTCGCGACATAATTCGTACAAGATCGTATAAGGTCTAAGTGGAAGAGAAGGTGCACAAGCTTTTCGCTTCTATTGATAGAGTACGGGACAGTTTTGGGACCCCTCACAAGGTTTCCAACGTCTAGAACTACGTCTAGTAAAAACCTCCATTCGTTTAGTTAGAGCTGCGTCATTGTTCGCATAACCTATTGTATTATCGATTATTAGTAAGCAAGGTTCGAATCGTAGAACCTCATCATTGATCTGGATATCGTAAAGAATAGACATATTACTTCATGTTCCACGTAAACGAGTATGTGATCCCCAGCGCTTAGCTTAGCATGATGCGACACTGCCGTCTTAAGATATGTGTTTTAATGGGCAATTGCATCAGACGACTCTGTCGGGAATAACCTATCTTCTGACGGGAAATGAGAAGAGTTCTTAGCTTTCGAAATAGCACACGACCGTCCACAAACCTTGAAGCCGTCTCAACTGTGAGAAAGGAAATTAGAAAAACATTACTGGCCCAGTTTTAGACCTGTTGCTCAAAGGCTTGTTGACAGACGAAAGCAAGCGGCATTGAAAAAGCCCACCGTCGGCTAACTAAGCACATGTTATGTGAATGATTACGGTATACTTTGAACACTAAATGCTGAAATAAGGTCTCATGCGTGTGCACAAAAGATGAAGGAACCGACAGCTATCTATCGGATGATTCTTCTCAATGTTACACTCTTTGGAATCTGAGGAATATCGAAACATGAGAACTTGTTATGGACATGTCTTTGGCTTTCAGAATTGGACGCGTAAAAAAAATGAAAAGCAAGACATTATTATCCAACATTTCCAGGAAAAGGAATACGAACTCCTGAGGCGATGAGCAACCGTAGGACTAGGGTAAACAACTGAAAAATACCGATGGGGCAAATTTCTTGGATCTATCACACCCCTTATTAAGTCATTTAATCGAAAAAGTTGTCTTTCAAGCAGGCCTATATTGAAATGCATCTGTTTAATACAAATACGTACAAGAAACAAAAAGCTGACTAGATGCATAGCATTCCGCCTTGTTCGTGATTACATTAGACTGTAATCGAACGGTTGTTTCTGATGTTTGAAATCTCGCGCGCAAATCGCCTACACGGAAAGTACTATTCAATTTATAAAATGTGCACCCAACAATACTTCGCACTGCAAAATATATGAAATCCACAAGATAATGTTGGTGTCCCATTAAGAATTTCCAACCTCGTTTGTAACTCTAGGCCGCATCGAATCTTCAGATTGGTAGTTATATTTAGGCACATGTTTCATGCGGTAAATAGGTAGATTGAGGTCGCATTTTCCGTAATCAATACTGCACGCGTGAAAGTCTACGTCGAGTAAGAGGATACCAGGCGTTGATGTGCCGCAATTTAAGATACAACAACATCAAAAATTAAGCGAATTTCAACTTATGATGCTAAAAAGCTCCATTCTGTATAGAGATCTATGCATGTAGAATGCAGCTCTAGGTGTGCTACATGTATAGAAAGTAGTATCCGTTGTACATTTTTTAGTTTTTAGCTTTGGCTGCGTAACTACGCTTTATTCTCCATTAGCCGATCAAGCTGGAAAAGTAGCAATGATTCGTATAAATTTAAGCAGTTAATTAAGTTACCGAAGTATAACCCGGGTATATGCCAATATAGCCATGAGATGATACGTAAACTAACTAAATATTGGCTCGAAACACGTTATTTTTTGGCTGTAATAGTTTGAACAGTATATTCGTCTCCCTCGTTCGTATATAATAGTTCTTTATATTACCAGTTGTCCTCTCTAGACGCACTTTTCCTGCGCAATATACGTTTCTAACATCTGACAGTTTTGATCTGAGCTCATCTGATCCGAGCTCTGACAATTTTGACATTTATTCGAGTACCGTAGATTCGGCGAATTTCAGGCATTACTCAAACCTATACGAAGAATGAATCGATGTTATAGAACTTTACTAATAGTCGTAGTAGGTCAGTGATCGGATGAGCACATGTTTCCGTCTGAAAGCGTCATTTTTCTCTGAATTGAGGGACGCAAACGCAGGAGTACCAACTGATTTATTCCGGGTGACTGCAGGGCCAACGTTTGCATCAATCGTTTTCTAGCGAATCGAACAAACGCCCATCGGAGTCTGTTTACTATTTATCTGCGTTATTAATGTGGTTAACATGCTAAATTTTATATAAGGCTTTATTAGCCAATGCAAAGGTGTTGATCCATCTATTTCAGATATCTGTGCTACTCCGCAGAGCAAATCGGATTTTTCGGTAAAGGCTGGCGCCGAATGTGAGTTGTGGCTCACTATACAATTCATAGGATAATTATTCGTTTTATCTTGATATAAAGGGCTGATGTAACTCGAATGCTTAGGGCAAGTCCTAAAAGGCACGCACCTGTACTCATAATAGAACATTTGATTTCTATTTTTGATCTCGTTACATCCTACGGAGGCTACTAATTAACTGGCTGGACATGTTTCAAAGTCTGACCAGAACTCCATGTCTTCGGGGTCTTAGACCCTCACTAGCATTGCCCTATTAGATACCGACACGGCTGATGTCGTTATGAGGGCTTGTAAAAAATCCATTGGCATCTGTAATGTCGGTGTTGAAAAAATATTCATGAAGTTCCCGTAACAGGAAGATTTACAGGACATTACATTGCGGACAACGTCAGCAATTCACAGGGTGTTACAAGAGTCCCTGTAACAATTTGTAAAAAAAAGATAACTGTATGACTCCAGTGATCATCTTTGGTACTACTACTACTACTACTACCTTTACATGTATTGGCTCCACACTCGATAGAAAAAAGCTTTGCATACCCTTTAACATTTTCTCATTTAATAATCTCGTTATTTAAAATACAAATTTTTATTAGACGGGTCCTTAATTTAACAGACGGAGAAGACTGTCATATTGAAATCCCAAGCCTAAATTTAATTAAAAAAGTATGTGGACCAAAGAACTTCTACACGGGACAGCACAAACGTCCTGCCCCAACAAAATATATCTAGCCGATCGATAAAAACGGACTGATTTTTCCGTCATGGATCCAAGCACCGTTTGTTTGTCGCAAAACGTACATAAATAATTCCCGCGGCACCATGATCGATAGTGGTATAAAATTTCAATATTATAACTTGCTCAAATGAAGTTAAATAACGGGCATACACTTACTATCTCCAGACGGCCAAAAAGAACTGAAGCTTGTCGACTGTTCATGTCAGAAACGATCCTATAAAAGATAAGATAGGAGGCTTCTACGAAATTATTTCCGGAAAATTCGATTAAAAATATTAATTCTAGCTGTAAATTGCATAAATATCAGCCTCATTCATGTAACGAGTAAAAGGTCTATACTTGACAAAATTGAATATTCGGGGAGTAGTGCTTAAACATGGTACTATTAGTACGCTTGTTTAATAAGTTCTAAGGGGCTAAAACAAAAGCTTGAAAGGAACAACTTTTTTTTACCCAGTAAATTAATAGAGGGCAAGCACTAACGAGAGCTATGTCATACCAGTAGATCGTCATTATTTTACTAAGCCCTGTCCTGTCGAAGTCAAATATAAATAAGCCATTTATTTGCAAATTTTCTCATTATCCCACCGATAAAAGTCGAAAATATCTGCAAAAGAACCGCATTTCCATGGCGAAAGGACAATTACTTGCGCAGCAGCCGTGTGGACTGTAGAGACTCATGAAGATACCTAATTTCGAATACCTGCAGCCATTGGATACGTAAGATACTTAGGACGACTTATGGAATTGGAAATAATTCGTAAGTCTATATAGGAAAACTTTTGTACAACCGAACCCTAAGCTACGTAAAATTAGAATAAATTAAAATTCAGTACTAATAAGCACATTTTAAAGGGTAAGCATGTAGTTGTAAGAGTAGATAGTATTGTACGTGTTAGCACTCCGAAAAGCAAAATCGTATCGTGGGAATGGCTTATGACTAATCTAGTTTTTTCTTTTTTATATAACAATGCATCTTACTAATGCAAAATATTAGTCTACTATTGCTAAAGGGAAATAATGGGGATAGTATGAGATAAGGTATAAAATGTGTTTTAAAAGACAAGCCTTAACAGCTGACTCCGAACAGTGCGCTAAGGTTTAATATGTTTCGAATTTTACGTCCAAAAACGCCGTCAAGCATTCGATCGCATGACTAGCTCCTAGCAAGAGATGAAGTGTGCCTGTGACCGCTTGTGGTGCTTAATCACTAAGTCATCATAGAGGTCTGAGGGGCTATCAGGAGACGCCGATGTCTGTGAATTGTTCACCATACAATAGATCTAGTTTTTAAGAACTCTTTCAAAATATCAGGATGTCTTTCCCCATTTTGCATTGCGGAACATAATCTAGCAACGTTTAAGGTACAATCTCGAAAATTGTCGTGAGACACTCACAAAACGAAAGATTGCATAACTTAATTCTGTCTGTAATAAATGTCATTTTTGATCACGCATTACATAAGGCTGGCGCTTTTCTGAATGAATAAGAACAGCGCAGCAAACGCTGCCTTCTAACAAACGAGAACCCAGGTTACTCCATGCTTTATCAGCATCAGAACCTGACGGTTCCAACTCCGACGTCCAGCTGATACGGTTTGCATAGTCCATGACACGAGTGATCGTATTCAGATTGAACGCCAAACGGGCTATATGCTATAGCGGAGACTGGTTCGTTGACCGAAAGTCATAAAATTAACCAACATTTTTCGCCGATAACAACGAACGATGGGTACAGAGTTAAACAACATCCGCGATCATAACGCGCTAAATGATGACACAACTAAATGTAATGTGGCTTCAATACCGATAACAGAAGCTCAGGATGTAGATAACGCATTACAATGTCGCATCTGTTTAGCGGGCGCGAGCATCGAGAATCTCACTGTTTCACCGTGCCGATGTTCCGGTACAATGGGTCACTTGCACAAATCTTGTTTGGATCAATGGCTCACAGCACGAGATCATCATCTATGTGAAATCTGTCTTCATCCTTTGGGATCTCCGAGACCCTCTGAACGAGCGTTCTCACAAACGCCATTAGTACCGCGTCCCCAACTGTTACCTGTTGGCACTGCTATTCAGCCTCTAGACCCTATGGGTATGACGATGGATATAGTCGCCATGTTGGTGATGGCCCTAGGTTTCATGTATGTTGGCTACGCGTTAATGCAGCAGAGTCCTGATCCTGTCCTTATTGGCAAGGAGAGTACACGCCATGCTAACACAGCATCGAAAGAGGGTCGTCGACCCACTATTAGCCAGAGAGAAGGCCAGCAGCAATCGAAAGATACCAACCGTGAACACGCTAATACAAGGTCAGGAATCGAGGTGACCATCTTTTGTGCAGTGGCGCTTTTCTTAATCTTGCTGTCAACGTGTGGTAACGTGGCTGTTCAATTTCTGCGAGTTCCAAGACCTAGAAGAAATAGAGGCGCTGTTCCTGATCAAGGAGGCTTTACGCTGGCGCCAGAATCTGGCCGTGTGGTTTGAGACTAGACCCTATGTGCCAGGAGCTTGTCTTGAACACAAAAGCAAATAATAAGATTGCTAGCGAGGTAAACGTTTTAAGGAACACTTTAATCTGTTGTTGTGTTGGGAATAACGTGGATCGCGCGAAAAACGCATTTGTTTTTGGTAGCCAAAGGCACAATATTACATAATTCTATTGTTCATAATAAACCTACATGACGTTCTTTCTTCCGTTTATGATTTACTTCTAGAAAAAAAAGTCATACTGCTAATTTCAAAGATTAATCTTTAACGGAGCTTTCTATTTCGATAAAAATACTTGTATTCTAATCAACTTTTGTCGAATTGCGTAGTACGAACTTTACTAAGGCTGGAGATACGCATATGCTTCACCGATATTTTGACCAATACTTGAGCAAAGTGAGTCTTACTCATTATGCTGCCGCTTCCTGGACGAAGTCCAGTTGGTGGTTATACAACAGAGGCACTTTATCTCGCGCAATATACTTCAGTATCGACTCATTATGTGTGGAACTCAATTCTAGCTACCTCAAAATATAACGAAAATCTATTATCTCGAAAGGAAATTGCTGTGCTTAAATTGCTAAAAGAGGGTCCCTCTCTCCCTCTCCTCTCTCTATCTATATATATATATATATATATATATATATATATATATATATATATCTATATATATACACAGAGAGAATCGTGACCAATGTTCTACCTACCAGAGTGTTCATGCAATCATGACAGATTGCTTAAGGTTATCCTAAATTTTAAAAGTGATTCTCTCTAAAGAAAAAGTGCCGTGGTGGTCTGCATTTTGTCCCATTGACGACGTCAATATAGCATGCCGAGTACATATAACAGTCAATGTGAATTAGTTATGGGTGCATTGAATATAAACAGATCTGACTACCGATCCTCTGAGAGTTCCAGCGTTTGCGTGAGGAGGTCTGTGATTTTAAGTAAGAGTGAGGCTGTTGTCAGTGACATCCGCAGCCGTTGATAATATTAATGAACCGTTCTAGTTTTTGGTTACATTTCACTAGTAAAGCAGATCCATCAGAAAGCCTCATATAATGACAATTCTAAAGCCACCGGATGAAATATATTGTACAACGTTTTTTTCTGAATTTGCTTTATTAAATTAATCTGAACATGCTTGCGATATCATTAAAACTTTGCAGGGGTAACTGTCCTGATTGTTAGAATTTATGAAGTTCAGAAAAGAAATAAGGGTCTATTACAGCATAAAGCCTCTAGGTAAGTTTTACTAACATCAGAAGACCACGGTCAGCAAGTAATGATAGTAAACATTTTGATGAACAAATTTCTGAAACGGGTATTTTAACTGACGTCAATACATATAGATTAAGATTCCTCTATCTAGAAGCCTCTATCCCGCAGGATCTGCGTTTAAAGCTGTCAGAGTGAACTTACCGCCTGATCCCAGGCGGTAATTGGGTCCTCTGATCGAAGGAAAATGTAGAAAGAAATAGGGCCCAAAGAAACGGCTGCAGGCTGATACGCCCAGATACAGAGTTGAGGGCGCAACATCTATCGTGTAGGCTAATGTCAAGTGGTAGCCATTTCAATCCCGTGTCAGAAAAAGTGCCTAGAAAAGGTTACCTAATGGCGGTATGCGTGAGTTCTAAGTCCAGTAGCTAGCCTGCATTGATGTGTAGGACATGTCCGTGGAACACAACTGCGATTTCGCTATAAGAGAAGGCACCGCTGTTTGCGGGTACGATGGTAACCCGTAGACACTCGCTAACCTCAATGCAGCGCAACAATGAATAGAAATATGAGCCTCCCTGCACCAATGCTCTATTCTAAATGCATGGTGCATTACATTTTTTACATCATTGAAAATGCCCTGAAAATAAAACCAACGAAGCCCAAGGGTGGACTGCTGCCCAGCGTGTTTCTTCTTCCGAGTTTTCATAGTTATCTTGAGTTCCTATATAATCCCTTTTGAATTGGGTAATAGTTACTGTTGTACTTCGGCAGGGATCCGCGCAACTGCATCGATGAAGCCTGAGACAAAGCTTAGTCCTAGGTCTACATTGCGCGAAGTAGTGGGATCCGCTAAATCTCAACTACAGCTAATTTAAATAAAGCAGGCTACGATAGGCAGCGATGATATCCTAGTGATAGTGCATATAACGGCTTTGACCAAAGCCCACCCGGTAGGCAACGCTAGTACTTTAACGGCCATAATCTTCTTCCTCGATCTTTGCTTGCCTTGGAAGTAGAGAAGGATGCCTATTTAAGTTAAATACGTAAAATCAATGTTGCGCTTATTATTTAATGTACTAAAAAAGGTAAATCTCTTACTCGTAAAACAATTCGAGCAGCGTAATCGCAAGATACTGAATTCCGTGTTAAGTAAAGTTAGAAGCTTATGTACTTTGCTCATGTTAAACAGCGATCTTTATCCTTTAATGAACATTCAGCGACAACAGAAGTATTGTCCGAACCATCTGATGTAGATGTTTATTGCATCTGAGTGCCCGTTTTCAGTGCTTAGTTATTTTTCTCCTGACTGGCGTTATCTATTTGTCTGAAGTCGCATTTAAAGGTATCAATCCATTCCTCACAGCCGCTATTGAGAGGTATGCTAAAAAAACTTCACGATCAATTTAAGAATCAACTAGCTATCTAGTAAATGTATTGATTATGAAATATAGGCACGATGAGCTCTGTCGTCGGTGACACTCTCAATTTCTGAGTGACAAAGTAACAACGTTACGTAATTATGCGCCATATCAGAAGACTAGCTCTTAAGTTTTTTTCTTTCAGAAACATCTATTTTATGGAACCTTTACAATACCGTAATAATGTAATATCGAATAATAATAATATAATAAATCTGGTCACCGGAGACCCACCCTAAGAAGACCTTTTTCATTTTTGTCCCAGAAGATCTTAAATGATCATCAAATTGAAGTAGTAGATTTTGCTTATGTCAGCATATTTTTCTCGTCAGTCGGCAATGGGTTCATTGGCGACTTTTTATGAGTTGGCTCTAGGGCGCCGGGGATTGCGTTCGGATCCTGGCTATATTTTATTTCGTGACATTTCTGATGCGTCAACATTCATCATTATCATTGTGAGTCTAACTTTTTGTGAAGATTACCATTGGGCGGCGTCCGCAATAGAACGTTGTCGTTCACTTTGATTGTGAGTTTCCTCGATGGATAGCACCGACGTTGCAAATGTCCGAACTTCACTAGACATCTGATGTCTATGTACGCTACAACGGAAATTATACTGCAACTACACTTCGATGTCGGGCCTTGGTCACCCGTGCCGTTCTACAGCATATACTCGATATCGGTCTTGGTTTGTAGGAATCCAGTGATACACGGTTGCTTAATTCGCGCCATGAGTCAGCAAAGAGTGAAAAAAATCTATTCACTATAACAGAAAACTGGCCTCTAAAAAATATCCTAAATAGCTCATGTCAATAGTATGTGTGTTTATGGGGGACCACAAAAATATCCATCTCAATATCAGTCGGCAACTGTAAACTGTCGTCCTCTCTCCAGCCGTTAGCCGATAAAGTCATATTGCATATGTTGTATGTAGTCCTGGATAGTGGAGCCCACTATTTCGCAGCGGACATCTTCATTTTGGTCAGAATTTTGTCCGTCATATCAATACGTACCTATAGGCGGCGGCGGCGGCGGCAGCAGCAGCGGCAGGACAGTCTTCTCACTTCTTGCAATTTTTTTCACACGTTTCTAAAGTCCGGACTCTGGACTGACTGGCAGTAATGGAAACGTTGCCCTTTACAAATCTGCTGTAAACACGTTAATTCTATTCACACATTGTAATGCTATTAAAACTTTCTGTCTCACAATCGCTCCACAGCAGATTACTGATCGATTCTATTGTCAGAGCTGAGCCAAAATGTTCATGATATTGGTTTTCTACTAACGATGATAACTTTAAGCTATGATATGTGACCCCGATTCCTGTTTATAGCTACCAGAATGTATATGTTTGTAATAGGGTCGTAATAATCTTGTTATCGATGCGTAAGCGCCGGCACGTGGGTTGCGCATGCGCTAAATGCGCCACCGTTAAGTTAGCGTGAGCCCCTAAATTTCTATGTATACGAAGGGGCTGTTGCTTCCTTTAACTATGTGTGCATTATTTATTTCACACTTAGGTGGTACCCATAACGCCTATCGACATGAATGACATACGTAAACACGATGCGCTTTAAACATAAACAAAAAAAATCTATAAAATGCAAATTTTCCTAGAATAACAGCCGACCATCATATTAGATCAGTTCAGGTTTTACACTCAATTTTCTGTTTAATTAGCTCTCTCTTTCTCTTTTACTTTGACCTACGTCGTGCACGCACATACAGTCAAAATCATAGTAATTTTAGCTTATTGATTTTACTTTAAAAATAATGAAGTTCTGCTCCCATTTGCAATTATTCCAATAGTAGCTACTTTACAAGAATCCCTAGTCAATATCAATACGAATATTCTGATGTTGATATGTACTAATTGCCATAACAGCTTTCAGATTAGTACAATTACTACCTGAACGTTTTGAAATAGGGGTAAATTTCGATTTTCGACCGTTGAACATCATCTTACCTTCAAGCTACGACAAATCTTAGATGGACGCAGTTCGGTTTTGTATCATCGCTTCAGCAACGGACATAGAAAAATAGTACCGCATAGATAAAACGAAAATGACAACTAACGGCCGAAACCTGGCCTTATTCGCCATCTAAGACCTTTCCTCATTGATACTGACAAGTATGCTAACAAAAGATCGATGATACGTATCAATATAATCAGCCGTCAAATGTCGGACGCATTATTAATATTAGTAACATTATATTGGCTAACAATCTCTAACATCCTCTAAAAAGAAGGAGCCACTGTTTCTCATAGGCTGCAAGCCGAGCTGTACGACGGATATCGTTGGATAATACGTGGCTGACCCCTTTAGACCTACGGTTACGGGTTCTGGAACGCAATACATAATTACTTAGGTAAGTAAAGACATATAAGAAGATGTAGGAAGAGCAAACCAGTCACTGTTATCAAGCCAACACCACAGCGGCAATGGGAGATTCGGCGATTGAAAACCGTCCATAGAATCCCTTCATTCGAAAAGCCTGGCTGTTTGATCGTCGCAACGCACGCTTCTAAATGCAGTCCCCG